GACGAAGAAGAAGGCGGTGCCCGCCCAGGTGGGCGGCAAGCGGAGCCGCGCTGAGCCCGATGAGGAAGGCAAAGAACTCCGTGGCGTAGGAGCGGAAGAGTGGCGGAACATCCTCAACGGAGAGAAGGAGCATGCCGGCAAGCCGGGCCTGCTACAGGAGGCCGTCACCATCTTCACCCGCGTCAACAAGGCGCGCAACTGGGCCTTCCAGTGCGACGGCGCCAGCAGCCAGAGCCTCTCGCAGAGCGAGAGGGCCCAGGATGGGCCGAAAAACCGCGCCGCCATCAAGCGCGTCGCGCCAAACCTCGTTGAGGGGTGGCCCGCCCACTCGCCCGACCTCTCGCCCATCGAGAACGTCTTCTCGAGGGTGGAGTGGGTCCTGTGGACCGACCCCGAGTTCAAGTGGAACAACTTTGCCACGTTCAAGGTGGCGCTCCGCGCCGCATGGGCCAAGGTGACGGGAGGCGAGGTGGGAACCACCTATCTGAAGAAGACGGTCGGGTCCTTCGAAAAGCGGCGCAAGCTGTGCATCGAGGCCAAGGGGGGGCGCATTAAGTATTAAAAAGCGTTGTATAGCACCTCTCTTGTCGTAAAAAGTCGCTCGCGCGTGCCCTCTACGGCTGGTGGCGCGCGAAAATAAAATTAATTCGACTTGCGCCGTTCGGCCGCCTAAGTCCTCCAAGAACGGCGCGCGCCGTAGAGGGCGCGGGCGAGCGAATGACATCAAGTGTCCGAGTCTGGGGTTGTAGTACGGACCCCGGACTACAACTCTCTAGTCAGGTGTGCGGCGTCAAACGCGATTCTGCGCCCTCCACGGCGCCCGAAGTGCGCCTTGGCTCGTGCAGCAGACGGCGGGCGCGAGCCGCCTTGCAATTCCCAGAAGTCGGCGCGCCGTAGAGGGCGCGGGCGAGCGAATGACATCAAGTGAGAATCCTATATTGGGATCTTGAGATATTTTGACGGATGACCAAAATCACCCCGTTTTTGCCCATTTTCGGTCATCCGTCAAAATATCTGAAGATCTGTCCGGGGGATTCTCCCCAAACCTTGCTCAGCTGATCCAGCATGGGTCGTAGGCCAGGCCTGGGCAAAGAAACCAGTACCTCATCAGGCTTCCCTGAGCGTCATAGCTCGGTGATCGCGCCGGCCGGACACCACTGTGACGGCCGTTCCGGGCATTTGAACGCGACCTTCGGGGGCAAAGATATGGGCTCTATGGCTCAGACTGGACTCCTCTTGGTCCCTTCTGATGCCCTAGGCCACACCTGGGCCTTACCCGGGGTCCTAGGGGCCGGGCAGGGTTTGCCCCCCGAAACTGGCATGGGACCTTAAGACCTTTTTTAAGAAACGAGGAGGTTTGGGGGCTTAACTTGCCATTTGAGAGATTGCAGGCACGGGGGGTCCCTCTTTTAAGACCGTTTAAGAAAATCGGCCTCGCCGGCATGGATGCGTCGCTGGGTTCCGCGCCGGTTTTCTCCAATTGTCCAATACGACTGCCGTTATTGGGCACAAACCCGCCTCTGAAGACACATCTGTAAGTCTGGTGCACTGGCAGGAGCCATTGGCATACTCGCATAGGGGACGCGTGTAGGGTTGTCAAACGTTTAACTTTGGGCCTAACAGTTGCACTATTGTTGGCTGAAATCCTCAACGTTTGTTCAAGTGTTCTCCCCAGCCCAAGCTGTTACTGTTTGTTGCTGTTGTTACTGTTGTTCAGTGGTCAGCAAGCAGAAAATGCCAAAAAAAACCGGGTAAACCCCGAAGATACCTGGGGTTTCCCGGGTATTTCGGGTATTACCCGCACTGGACGCTGGAGATCGTCGTGGGTCACTGCCAGGCCTTCCTTATTGTTGTTCAGCCGGCCTAACGTTAGCTACTGTTGTTGGGGAGCCCCACTGTTGTTCTGTTGTTTATTGTTAACACTAGCAACACTGTTCAGCTCTTAACGTTTGACAACCCTAGATGCGTGCTAGCTGACTGTAGCCAGCTTCCCGGCCTACGGCGTCTACCGGGAGCCTCCCGGACCATCGACCTCGGGAGCTCTCCCGCACCGTTTAAGCGTTTAAGACCGTTTAAGGAATCGGCGGCCCAGGCAGCCTTAAAATGGGCCCGGGCCCGTTTTAAGCCGTTTAAGCCGCAGGCGCCCCAGGGCCCACCCTTTTAAGCCTAGGCGCTAGGGGTCCCCTAAGAGAAGACTGGTGCCTGATATGCTGCCTCCCTGCGGATGCTGCCGGCGAGCCTGGCGGTCCGCTGTACTACAAGGATGTGCTGACTCGATCCTACCCCGCAATCTTCTACCCCCACGACTCGGAACACGAATGTGACAGGACCATCGGGTCCTTCAGCCACCAAAGCGAGATCACCCGAGAGCAGCTGAGTCTGCCCGTCTGGCCTCGCCTCCCTCTCCTCTCCAGGCATTCGTGGCATCCTATGGGTCGTCCAGAGTATCGACCTCTGGCTTGTCAGCCGCCCCACCGAGGGCACCATGAAGTACAGCGATCGCCACCTCGCTGGCCTCTCCGCAAGCAAGGCCCCCGACCGCGTCGAACTCATCGGCGCGGGCTCTCTCGGCTACGATGCGGGACCGGCCCCGTACGGGACCGGCGGACCGGCCCCAGCTTCGGCTGAGGGCTAACAAGCTGCCGAGCCCAAATCACTGTGACAGTCGCGCACGTGATTTCTTGTTGGTCTTCAAAAATCTCTCGGTTCACCCACCCACGGCCGGGACGGGTCCCGCACCGGGCTGAAGCGAAGAAGCGAAAAAAGAGAATTTAAAACAAACAAAAATATTTAAACAAAACAACTTCTTCACAGCAGACAGGCTCGACACAGGTGCGGACTGGCGAGTGCTAGTACAAGAATAAGAAACCAGCAAACGGCGCTGAGGCACCTCTGGCAAGGAGCGCGCCGTCGTACGCTTCGCCCGCTTCACTGAGGCGGTGGCGGAGAGCTCCCGCTTTTTGCGCAGCCATGGGCGCCTGCCTCTCGATTGCTGGCCCGCTGCCTCAACAGCGCGCCCTCTTCTTCCCGGACCGCGCAATGCCTTGTCGGCAGGCGCTCAAGGGACAGCCCTGCAGGAGAAAACACTGCACGTACGAGCACGACGCCTCCCGTTCGTCGCTGATGCAGCTGCTCGCGGTGATTGGCGACGCGACGACGACGCTGGACGTCTGCGTCTTCACCATAACGTGCAACGAGCTCGCCGACGCAATCATCGCGGCTGCGAAGCGCAAGGTGCGAGTGCGGGTCATCACAGACGACATACAAGCTACCAGCCAGGGCTCGGACGTGTCCGAACTAGCCCGAACCCCGGGCGTGACGCTGCGTACGGATCACCAGAAGGAGGCGCACATGCACCACAAGTTTGCGCTGGTCGACGGCACAACTTTGGTCAACGGCAGCTTCAACTGGACGCGGGCGGCAGTGCTTACGAACTACGAGAATGTGGCCATCACGAGCGGTGCGCCGGGCCTCATCGGAGAGTATACTCGCGAGTTTGAGAGGTTGTGGAGGGCGTTTGCATGATTCGGCGGACGTGGGATCTGTCCTAAATCTGTCGACGCGCGACTGACAGAGATTCGATTCGTCGTAATCATAGTCTCAGAGGGAGCGATTCTAAGATCAGGCCTGCCACTGGGCGACCATCGGCCGTCCCTCAGTGCTTCCAGCCTGCCCGCTTGAGTTTCCTCAATTGGCTCGAATTTTGCTTAGTAGAAAGAAGAAGCGCAGGCTGCCACCGCTGCCCGGGCGCCCCGCGAGCGGCGGCGGAGGGCCGCCCAGGCCACCACCAGTGCCCCTCCCACCGGCGGCGCGGCGGCAGCGGCGCCGACCGCCCCTCCATCAGCGGCGGCGCGACGGCTGTCGTCGGGACGCCGGCAGGTGCCGCGCGCGGAGGGTGCCACCGGACCGGCCGACGCGCGCCCGGCGGATCCTTCGTCGTCCACGGCGGGCCGAGCACCCCCGCGTCGCTTCTCGGCGCATTGGAGAGCAGAGGAAGCTGCTGGCGTCGCCGCTGGGATCGGCGGCGGCGCCAGCAGCGTTCTCGGATCTGAAGCCGACTTTGAGCGCCGATCGATCGATCTGAGGGCTTGCCGATGGGTGGCGCTGGGACATCGCCGCCGCCGCGGAGGCCGGCGGCGACCAGAGGAGCGGTTGGGGCGTGGCGCATATGTTACCTGCCAAGTGAGCATCAAGTGTGCTTCGAGATTTATTCGAGATTTGAAACTTAGATTTTCGTTTTCAGTGGGGAGGTGGCAGACCTGATCTTACAACATGTATATTCGCTCGAGGGGATCCTAAAAGTTCGGCCGATTTGGGTCAAAACGCTAAAAGCACTGCGCGCAGTAGATCTGGGGCAAAACGACAAAAGTGGGCCCGCCCGGGGCAAAATGGTGAAAGTCGCGCGCCGCACCGACGCGCGAAAATTTTGGACCTACCTCGTCAATATCTTTATCTACTCTCTGGCGGCGCCCGCGGCGCTCTCCAAATACTCGCTCACTATAGCGATGTGCAGCCGGCGGCGCAGCCACGCCTTGTTGCCCGAGAGGGCCTCGCCACGCTCTAGCCAATCGTAGTGTGCATATAGGGGTCAGTCAGTCAGTGTTACACACCTCCTAAAAAGCCGTAGCATGGAGGACGGGTCCACTCTCCACACGCACACACACGCTGCACACGATTGGCTCGGGAGCCGACACGAGGCGCACTGTCACCGGCCGTAGCACCGGGTCCACGTGGGTCCGGACTGCTGGACACACAGCACACAGCTCACAGGACAGCTCACGAGGTGGCGCTATGTAGTGGAGTTCTCAGGGGGACTGACGCGGGAGAAGAAAGTGGGGCACAGGGACAGGGACACCGTACTCACGAACTGACTTCCCACCCCGCGCCGGGGGCGGTGGCGCGCGCCGCGCCGGGACACTTTGGACCCGCAGCCTGGCATACGCCAGGCCATAGATCCGCCGGCAGAGCCTTGAAGCCGCATCCGCGATCCGCGCCAGCTCTCAGAAGAGATCCGGCCCGGTGCTGACCGCGTCCTCGCAGGCCACCGAGTTCACGATGGTGCCCGGGGGAGTCGGTGCAGCTGCGGCATGTCGCAGTGCGGCATGCCGCAGTGCGTCATGCGGCGCTCCTGCAGCAGCGCGCGCGCGGTGGTGAGGAGGGAGCGAGCCCTTGAGCTGCTGGCGTAGTCCATCGCCCGCGCATGCGCCGGCCTTGAGGTGGTTCCGCCAGCAGCTGGCCCAGAGGTTGTGACCCTGCGCCGCAGGAATCGCCGAGCGTGCCGCGAACCCGCAAGCGGGTGTACGAACCGCGAGCGGCTCGCACTCGTGACACGCAGGCGTCCGACAGACGGCGCCGGGGCTAGGCGACCGAAGAGGAACTACGGCAAGAACCGCACACCACCCGCTGACGAGCGCTCGCGGAACTGGTCCGCGGCGCCCGCCAGGGGCGTGCGCGAGACAGGGCTCGAAGCCCTTTTCTGTGAGCAGGGATTCCCTCCCGGCGGGGGTTGTGGCGGAGAGCCGGCATGGGAATCGCCGGCCCCCACCCAGGGGGTGCCCCTGCCAGGCGCCGCAAGCGGTGCCCGACAGGGGCGGGTGCCCCCACCCCGAGGGGTGGGGGCGGGGTCGGGGCCCAAAGTGATTCGGCCTATCGCCTCGGCAAGGTCCTCGGTGCGATTCTCCACGGTGTCGTCGAGCGAAAGCGCGGTAGCCGCGGAGGTGATGACGTCGACATCGGTGGAATCGGCTGGGTCAACGTCAATGTCGATAGCTCTTTCACGTCGGATCCCCTTGTTGTCTCCGATGTGTCGCGCCTGCGCGCTCGGCGTGTATGAAATCCATATCACCCCATGCTCCACGGCTGGGGCTTTAGGCGGCGAGGGCGGGGCGCTAGGCGGCGGTCTGTTTTCGAGGGAGTCGGGTGGGTCATCGGCGTAGCTAGAGGCCCCATCACCGATGTCGTCGAGTGGGATGGTTGTACCTCCTCCGTTAATAACCACGTCGTCGCCCACGGTGCTGCTCTCCCCGTCGTCCGCGTCTGTTGGGATAGACTCGTCTTGCCACTCCGGTGCGTCGCAATCCCTCGCGCCGCTCCTGCCGAGGTCAGCTTGCTTATCGACGTAGTCGTTCCACTTATGACCACTGTGCCCCTTGACGTGTCTCCATGTCACTTCGTGCCTCGACGCTAAATGCCGCCACGCTGCTCGAAGATAGCTCGCTAGTTGTGCGTTCTCCCCCGGCGAGATTCTCCCCGTTGCACACGCCATCGCGTACTCGCTGTCCGTTCGGACCACCCCTCGTGAGCCTGCTGGTCGTGGTGCCGTGTGGAGTAGTGAGCGAAAAAGCTCCGCAAGCGCTGACAGCTCCGCCGTGTTATTGGTGTGTTTCCGCGCCCCCACGAAAGCGGCGTGTACGGGGCTAGTCACGACGGGGCCGTAGCCTTCGGTCACGAGCATGGCATTCACGTCGCATATGCCGTCCCCGCCCATGACTACGGCGTACGCCCATCCTGCCCTGCCTCCGTCTTCCGACCCATCAGTGTACGCCGTCCAGTCGGGTGGTTGCTGCTGTGGGGGCGTGGTGCCGTCCCGTCGACAGGGTCGAAGTATAACTCCTGACGCCTCCACCATCAGCCGCACTTTAACACGGCAAGCACCGCCCCTATCACAAGGCTCGACGCTGAGTAGTGCCATCGTGTTGCTTGTGCAATCATTCGCAGCAATGTCGCGGGCAAGCTGAATCCTCTCCGGAAGCGCGCATTGGCCGTCGTCATACGTCAAGTCGCAGCGTGGCCACTACCATGACGGGATCTTCGGCAAACGAAACAAGTTCAACCTGCTTCTCCACGAGACATTCGGCGGCGGCTTCTCGCCGCCTGCAGTTGCAAAGATCAACCGCCTTGCGCGCAAGGCTCAACGCTCGGGCGTTGACCGCACCGCGTACCCTCCCCACTCCCGCCTCTCATTTGTGTCACACCACGCGGAACGCATCTCCATCGCTTCGGTGAAGGGGGTGAACCGTGCCATCCTCGATCGCCGTGCTAAGCTCGCTTCCGAGCTCTCACGCCGCGCGTAGGGCCCCTAGGGGCCTAGAGAACACAACCCCCTCTCTCTTTTCTCCCAGTAAGCTAAAAGTACGTACACAGGACTCGCTCGTAGACCACTTGCCCTGCCCGCCCGGGGGCGGAAGGTGGTCCCCCTCAGGCGCGCGGATCCGCACGCCGACGCCGCCGCTCTCCATGCCGTCATACGAGCGCCAGCCATCGCATGCGATCCGAACTGCTGCGACGGCGGCTCTCGGCGCCGCGATCGTTGGTCCTGCTGTCACGCATGTGATTTTCAGCGACTTCGAGCGCTACCGCGCCCCAGAGGCGACGACTGCCACGTTCGTGGCTGGCGAGGGCCACGAGTCCCTCTGCTGGCTGCCCCGCGGGCGAGGCGCTGCTCCCAGCAAGAATCACTGCTATGAATTTCCGCCTGTCGAGGGCGGATCGCGCAGGAGAGAGATCCAGACCTACAGCGGGCACTGCTTTGGCTTCCTCAATGGCTCGGATGTGGTCACCGGCAGCGCATGCGTCGCTCGTGGGCGCACCGAGCACGGCCCCGATTCGTCGTCGGTGCTTGATCGCCTGCTGGAACTCCGCGCCTCTGCCGCTGCGGCGCTCGCTCGGCAGCGGCGGCGCATCTACCGAGCGCTGCAGCTGCTGCTCCTTGCGGACGTGGCCTTCTTTGGCACGGGTTCGACGGGGCGACGAAGAAAGGGCCCACCGGCACTGGTGTGGACCACGCATCACCTCTTTCTCTCCGTCGGCGTGGGCACGATGCTGCTGGACCACGCCGCCAAGGGCTTGCTAAACCACGGCGGCTCGCTCCTCACGATGCCCGCGCAGGTGGGTGGAGGTGCGCCGTCAACCCTTCCCGCACCACTCCCTCACCCACCACCCACCACCCTCGGCCGCCGCCGCCAACCCGCCTTCCTTGGCGCTCAGCTTGCTGGTTTTACTACCTGGGTGGCGCAAACACGCGCCCCGACGGCCGGGGCGCCGCCGTCGCGCTGATCGCCGTGCACGCGGTACTGCTCGAGCTGATGCCTCTGCCCGGCGCGAGATCCACCCGTGCACTCACTCTTTTGGTTGCACCTGATGCTGCAGAGGGCCGCCAGTACGCTCACATCTCGCCGCGGGGGGGAGCCCATCGCACCACCAGGTGGAAGAGAAGTAGCGGCCTGATGATCATCATGCCACATCGTCTCATGTTCATTCAGGCGAGATTCACCCGTACACTCTCATCACCATCGCCCTCGCGCGGCTTTGCGTCCGCCCGCTCGTCGCACCGCCGCCCGCCGACCGGCCGCCTTCGCTCTGGCGCGCCCTGCTGCGCCCCGACGCGGCGCGCTGGTCGCCGCTGCTGCACGCTGCCCTCGCCGCCCTCCTCGTCGCATCCGAGGAGGCGCTCGGCTATGGTGGGCTCCAGCTGGCCTACGGCTCTCGCGGCCTGACCTGGGCCGTGGCGGGCCGACTCCGCAGCCACAGCCTCCACAGCGGCGACGCTGCCGCGTGCGCAGCGCTCCCGCACGAGCTTGCCGCTTTTGCTCTGCACGTCCACCTCACGCTCCAGAACAGCGTCGGCGCCGTCTGCCGCGGCGGCGTCTCGGAGGGCGCCTGCTCTGCCGTCTACTTTGCGACGATCCCCGCCATCGTGGTGCAGGCCGCCCTGCTGCACACGTACACCTTCCGCAGCCTCCACCCGCTCGACGGGCGCGCGTCCGGGCTCGGCGGAGTGCTGCAGGCAGCTGCGCGGCGCACCTCGTACGCGCTCGCGCACTATTCACTGCAGATCTATTTCGTCCACATTCTGGCCATCGTGGCATGGGACCGATGGGTCGCCGACGGCGGCGGCGAGGAGCTGTCGTGATGTTCTTCTCGAAACAGCGGTGGTCGACGCATCGCGGTATGCGCCACATTTTTTATTTATGTGTGTTTTGGACAGAGTGGGTCGAGTTCTGGCTCGTTGTGGCTTGGCGCGAGAGTACGGCTTTATGTATATGTTATATCGTGGGACACGATGGATCTCAAATATGAGGGCTAGTGCCATTTCACTGTGGCACAGCCCGCGTTACAAAACCTTGATTTTGACCATTGCGCGAAAAATGTACCTCTCGGTGCCTTCCAGTGGAAGCTGCGACCTCGCCGAGTAGACGGCGGCACACAGCAGGTGGCGCGGTGTGCCGCCGTCTACTCGGCGGGGTCGCAGCTGCCTCTGCGCGTCCTGGGGAGGTACATTTGTTGCGCGCCGGAGACGACTCGACGCCGCTGAGATCAGAGATCAAGCTCTGACAGGTCACACGTCGCTCCTTTGACGCCGACGTGACTCACCCGTGCAGACCACATCAGGACACGGTCTCGACGCGCTCGGTACGACGCCTGCGACCTGTCTCGGGTCAGGTGGCACGACGCTCATCGCGCCTACCAGCGCTGCCGTACAGGTTGCCACGACGAGGTCGAGCACGCTTCTATACGCTCGCCGAGCCTTCCTTTCCATCCCAGTAGGCAGCCTGGGAACGGTGGCGGTCAGAGGCAAAGCCTACGAGGGGTGGTGGAACCACATGTCACGGCTACTGCCGGCTCCACCCCACGATAGCCTCCGAAGGCTGACTTTGCGGCACCATCATCGGACGATGTCGACGAGTTGGGTCGCTCTCGCGGTAGCCAGATGACCTCTCTTCCTAGGATCATCGGCCATGGCCGCAGGAAGCGCGGGGGAGGGCGCTGGAAGCAACACGGAGCTCCGTTGGAGACGTTTTCAAGATTAGCGTGTCAGAGTGAAATGGCACTAGCCGAGGGGTTTTGACTCCTATACCCCGGCTCCTGACGCTATCCCTGGCAGCTCTAATGACCAGGATCAGTAGTCTAGTGCTATGATGGAGGGTGCCCATACTAGCGCAGGAACTGCCACACTCGCCCGGACCGTCCCCTTCTGGGGCCAGTTCCGCAGCCCGCGGGAGCCGAAACAGCGGGGCCGTGCTGCGGGTGCCTACTGCCGAGTGCCACAAACACTGAGCCGTCCCGCCATCACCTACGGGCTGTCTTGTGTGATGGTTGGGATGTCCAAACGCCACCATCTTGGCCCTTGCGACCTCAAACCCGCGAGCTGTATGGGTGGTCCTGACGTCGACAGACGCCGGAGGACCACGGTGAAGCTGAGCCGGAACGGGTCGACAAGCTCGTCTGAGCCCGTGGCGGTCGCCAGCTGAGTCGCTGTGCACGGGCCGGTACCTCATCAGGCGTACCTCCGCTGCCTCAGGTCTCACACTCCATCACCTCCGACGGGGGGCCTTCGGTGGCACGCTCGGCGGCGAGTTTTTGTCCGCTACATCTCGACACTCGAGTACGGCGTCGAGCCTACCCACTCCAGTTGGTTCTGCACACTCCGCGGTGGAGTGAGGAGTCCACCGAGTGTGCAGAACGCGCGAGCGGTGCGTCCCGGCAGCCCTAGCTGGCTGAGCGCACACACAATAAATAAATAAATAAATAAAAACGGTCAAACTCTGACGAGATGGGAGGACATGTGTCCCCGCCCTGCACGATCTTGGTGTGAGGGATCTTCAATCCGTGTCCCCTCACCCCTCGTCACAACCCGACACGGAAGAGCGGCAAGAGTTGGGGCTGCGGCTACGGCTACGGCTGCGGGAGGGGCTATGGTCGCGGGAGAGCCGCTGCGCCGCGTGGGCGCGCCTACACCGCGCTTGCTCCGCTCGCCACCTCTCGCAAAGGTCCAAAGTCATAGCACACACAAACTCGAGCCACGCTCGGCACATTTTCTTTTGTGTGTTTTGTGTGTGTGAGAAATAAGTTAGCTTTACCTTACCTTACCTTGGCGGCCGAGGGCCGATGTGTCGCAGCGTGAAACCCGCAGTGTGTATTGTACGCTCGCAGTGCCGCGCAAGCGATGTGAGCGGTGCCTGAGCTCAAGCGACGGTGACCGACTTCATCGTCACCGGCGTGACTGGGCAATCGTCGCGGGTGGGGGTCTTCGAGATGGCGACCATCACATCGAAGCTCGCCTGATCGACGACCTTGCCAAACACCGGGTGCTTCGACTCGCCGGGGGAGAACCAGTCCAGGAAGTCGTTGTGGACGGTGTTCCTGGGACGAAATCAAAATCCTCGTGAGGGTTGACTAGTCAAGAGGCGCCCGTCCTGCCCTGAGCGCGGACATGAAGAACTGCGAGCCGCCCGAGTTGGGCGAGCCGGTGTTGGCCATCGAGAGCGTGCCGGGCTCGTTCGAAATCTTGGCCGCAAACCTGCGACAGGGAGCACGGCACAGCCGCCTTGAGCCGCGTCACGCGCTGCTGCGGGGGTGGGGCGGGCCCGGCGGTCTGCTGGGCGGTGAGCGCGGATTGGGAGTGGCGCATTTGTGGTGGAGGATGGTGGGCGCCGCGCACTCATCCTTGATGTTGCCGCCGCCGGAGCGCTTCTCGGTGGCACCCGTCACGAGGTTCTTGTAGGTGCCTACAGGAAGGCTGCGAGAGGGTTAGAGAGGGTACGGGAAGGGTCCCAAGCTGCGACGGTCACGAGGCGTGGCCGTCGGGCGGGCCGCCGGTGCCGGCGCGGGACGACTTTGGGTCCTTGGAGTGCGGGCAGCCGAACTGGTCCATGAAGTCGGGGATGACGCGGTGGAAGTGGAGGCCTAAGGCGAAGGATGAAGAGTCTCAGCGGCGGGCGGCGCGGTGCTCTTCCATGGTCGTAGCTGCGGCACGAACCGTTGTAGAAGCCGGTGTTGGCGAGATCGATGAAGTTGCTAGCGGTGATGGGCATCTTGTCGAGGTAGATCTCGCACTTGATCTCACCCATGGTGGTGTCGAAAGTCGCGACTGGGTTCGGCATGTCGACGGGTTGACTGTCTGCTTTGCTATAGCCGCAGGGCAGCCACTCCGAGCTGCTCGGTGTGAACAGAGTTCGTACACACGGGTTGAGCGGCGGCAAACACAAATGAAGAAATTCGATCGTTTCTTTTCTTTCCGAAAAACAAGAACGAAACGACAGCGAGCCGCTCCGATCCGGGGGGCGCTGGGCCACACCGCGTACCGACTGCGATTCTGCGATATCGCCTTCGCCACAAAAATGTCACCGTCGCAGAGCTGGGTCGCGGAGACGATGTCGATCAGCATTTCTCGAAAGAACAGATTGATGACACTCTTGTGTGACACGCAACTTATGATGTGTGTCGGCACTGACCACTGTACCGATGATTCGGAGGCCTAGACCAGGTACACGCGCGGAGATGCGGGTGGGAGTAGCGAAACGGCGCCGTCACGCGTCGAGATCGGACGCTGCGCCACGGTGACGCAAGCCGCGTACTAGCAGCGCCGTCGCGCGAACACGTAGCGCGAACACACAGGGGCGAGAGCATACAAAAGATACAACGGAGCAGCGGCGTCGCGCCCTCTCAAGCGGTAATCAGTCCGCCGTCAGAATCGCCCACATGGCCAGAAGGTTAAGGAGCAAGAAGACCACCAGTGGCGGCTGCGGCCCAAAGGGAGACCTCCACACGCGCAGCACGATTACATGGCCGCGCTTCGTGCAGCGCAGCAGTTCGATGCAATCGTAGGCTTCTCTCCAGCATGCTGCCGCCATCGCCACGAGGTACGTCTCTCGTGTACCGAAGTGGAGCGCGCCCGCCGTCGTGAGAAACATTGAGCCGCCCCGCACACTCCACGCGCCGCGCACGTTGGGGTGCAGGATCTTGTCCTTGGACCCATCGCGCTTGAAGACCCCGTTTTCGGTGATGGGTGAAAAAGACGGATCCCAGGTGCAGAGAACGCCCATGACGCCGGTCCAGAGGCAGTGGACTACGAGGAACATCTGCACGAGCGTCGGGGCTGGAAAGGTTGCGGCGAACAGGCCGTTGTGCGCGTCGAGCATCGCGGAAGGGCACACGAAAAGAAAGTCGTTCGCTTCTCTCGGCCCTCATGACGGGGTAGGTAGGGTAGGTCCCGCCTCCCGTCGGTTTAGCGCGCCGACAGACCGCCCTCTCCACCGCCCTCGCCCAGGGATCTACAACGCTGTCTTAAGGTCCGACAGGTTCGGCACCGGGCACCGCCTCGGTATACAAAATGCGCGTGCGGCCGGGCGGACCCTTACAGCTCACAGATCACACCTTGGGATGTACCAGGTTTCCGGCAACAAAAAGGAAAACAGAGGGTCCCCAGCACTTTGCGTTTCCGGAAATTTCCAGCGAAAACAGAGGGTGTTTGGTGCTCCACCGGGTCCCGCGGCTGGCGCACGCGACTGGAGTGATCTGTCGGCGGTCAGTACGACCAATCAGGTCGGAGTTTTCTGATGGTTGGAGGGTCTATCTGTGTGTACTCCTCGAGATCTCTCCAAATCTGCCCTCTGATCAACCGTGATCATTCGGGAAGTCGGTGCTAGTAGAGACTAATAGAGCCGGAGCCCCGTTTCCGCACTGCTGCGCGGCGCACGGTGCCTCCGGGGGCCCCCGCGCCCCCCCACAGAAAGTACGGACATAGTGAGAGAGAGAGAGAGAGAGACGACATAGTACCTATGCGTAGCCGTAGGTTGGAAGAGTACGTATAGATTAAAACACTAGTGTCCGTGTTGAGCCGTATTTAGAGAGCCGTAAAGCCGGACTTGCTTCCCTGGGGGGTACATGTACATGTAGACAGCGCCCCAAAATCCACTAGTGTGGGATTTCGCGCAATCGCTTGACTCGGAAAAGCTCGCCATGTACCTTTCTGAGCGCTGTGGTCGCCGCTGACTGGCTCCGACTTGACGGGCGCATGGAGATGTGATGCCTCCATGCGCCCATCAAGTAAAAATCGACATGCAGATCGATGGTTTGCCCGAAAAGGTACATGGCGGCGTTTGGCGACAAAACAGCGCTGTGACCGCGAAGTGGCGATGGACATGCTCCCATGTTGCCAACGCGGCGCCGGAGTGGCCGGCGCTGCTCGCCGCGACCACGACGGCCACTCTGATACTCCAGGCCGACCCGTCCTACCCGACGGTGGCACTCTTCCACGTCTCGCTCACCGCCGCGCTGAGAAAACATCTGAAACGGCGTGCAGCAGAGTCACCGACGAGTCGGTCCGCGTGACTCCTCGTGTTCCGTACCGTTCTCACACATCCATAAACTCACTTTGGCCTCACTGAAGCGAAGTCTGAATCCTTAATCCTCAGATTTTAGAATTAGATTAGCATTTTAGAGCCGGAGGAGATCTGGGCTGGGTTTTTAGGCATTGTGGGGTTGGCACTCCCATCGACCCTCATGACCTCCTGCGGTCTCTGAGATGGACACCAGTGGGTGTGGGACCACAGCCAGGATACACTCGAAGGCTGGGTAAGCAGTAGAGGTCGATACTCGACGCGTCCCACATGGTCTGTGTCGCTGTCGGCACGCTGTCGACAGGACGTCGAGCGACACCGGTGGCAGTGCCACCCAGGAGTGGTCGGGCGGTCTCCCGTCATGAAAGAGCCACCATGTGATCCGTATGATTATTCCTGACAACCGCCTCAGTCAACTTTCGTCACAGTTCCCGCTCTGAGAGGAGCTGCGGGTCAGTTCGACAGCTGGAGCTGTGTCGCTGGCGTGCGGCGGCCTGCCTCCGGAGGTGCCTCTAGGTGGACATTTTTTGGTCACCGTGAGAGAACGCATTCGAATTTTCACTCCGGAACTTCAACTCCGCACGCGCACCGGCCAGGGCTACAATAGTGCCAGTGAGGCGGAGGCGCGAGTCGGAAGGCCGCGATTTTGAGTTGGTCCCCAATTTTCCTACTTTGAACCCAGCCACGCGTACAGTCTACAGATAGGACGCTGTTCGAGCCTCTATATCCAGAAAAAAAAACTACCAGTCTCGTGTGCACCATCACACTGCACGCCTCTCCGTCGACTCCAAAAAGCGGAGCGTACGGGCGGCGACGGCGCTCCGCCTTCCGGCATAAGCTTTGTCTCCGAGCTAGAGTACGCCCGTACAGCGTACTGCGTACACGGCGCAACCCGCGCCTCTCAAACAAAACCAGAGAAACGGCGTGGCGCGAGGCGCCCATGCCTGAGCCGCGCGCGGCATATGTGCAAATGGCGCATGGGCTGCCATGGCGCATGCGCAGCAATCGCGGCAGACAAGGAATTTCTGTAGGCAAAGTCTCCGAGCCATTCGACCACGCGAGGACTACCAGTTAGTCCGCGCTCACTCACTGGGTGCGGAAGACGAGGTGGTAGCCCGAGTCGGAGAGGACGATGCCTGACATCTTGCCAACAGCTGTGCCTTTCACGCCATCCTCGAACTGCTTCTGCATCTGACCCGGACCAAAAAGGCCCAGATCTCCGCCTGACTTGAAGGAGCCGCAGTCCGACCGCTCGCACGCGTACTTGGCAAAAACCTCCTCGCTCGCGCCCTCGGCGTTGATCTGCGGGCGCGAAGGGCAGCGGTGGTCACTGAGCGGGGCAGCGGTGGTCACTGAATGTCGCAGCGACCAGCGCTAAAGGGCAAGCCGCAAAAACGCGTGGTCGGACCTTGTCAGCGTAGCTCTGCAGCTCCTGCTCCGCCTGCGCGGCCGTCACTCCGCTCGTGGACGCTCCGGTGCGGCGCGAGACGGGGTTGCGCGAGCCCTCGAACTTGATTAGCAGGTGCCGCGCGCCGCGCGCTGCGCGCTGCGCGCCCCCGCCCCCGCTCCCAAGCGCCCCTTCCCCGGTGGGTGTGCGTAGAAAGTGGAACCGATCGAGAGGTCCGGGGCAGAAGCCGCGCCCCGTGTGTGTGACACAACGAGATATTGCACGGCACGCGGCGTGGGGAGTGAGACAGAGCCCCGGCGCGCGCAGGCCGCAGCGGCCAGCTCGGCCAGCGCCGGCGCCGGGCCCATGGCCGGGCCGCGGGCGCTTTTTATGCAAACATGCAAACGGGACGGCCTGCGCAGCCTCTAACTAAAGCCGTATAGGTTAGCCTCTTAGCCATTAATGCAGTCGGTTATTGGCCAATGGCCACAAACGAGAAACGACACGGTAGACGACGTTCCCTCTCAGCAACAAGACACTCTGAAGCCTCTCCACTAGCACTCAGCAACGACCCCGTCACCGTCCGGCTCCGCCAGCCGCTCCCACCGCTGCTGCTCGTGCGCCAGCAGCCGCCCAAACTTGGCGGGCGCCTCCACCGCTACGTGCAGCGGCGGCGCCCCCGGCGGCCTATCCGGGTGCGCGAGCCTGAGCTCGACAGCGGAGAGATAGAGGCCGCTGCCCGCGTCGCCGCCGCCGTACTTTGAATCGCCGACGATGGGCGCGCCGAGCACCTCTGCGCAGTGGCGGCGCAGCTGGTGCGTCCGTCCGGTGAGCGGGAAGAGCGCGAGCTCAGTCAGGTGCCCGCCGCCGAGCCGGAGGGAGCGGCCTCGCCGCAGCACGCGCCAGCGCGTCCGCGACTCTCGCCGCATGATCGGCGAGTCCACTTCGCCCTCGTCGCCCTCGACGATACCGCAGACCACCGCGCGGTACTGCTTGTGCACTACGCGGTCGCGGAAGGCGCTCGAGACGCCGAGCAGTGCGTGGCGAGTCTTTGCGCAGAGCAGCAGCCCGCTCGTCGGCCGGTCGAGGCGGTGGCAGATGTGCGGCCTGTATAGCGCGCCAGGCGTGCCGGCGGGCGGCGGCTGAAGGGCGTAATGTATCGCGGAGCGCATGCTGTTGCCGTGCGAGGCGCCCGCACGGCGGCGGTTCTCTCCGTCGGCGGGCGGGTGGGTGCAGACGCCGGCAGGCTTAAGCACCACCGCGATCGACTCGTCCTCGTACGCCACCTCGACGGGAAAGGGCGGCTTGCCTCGCGGCGAGAAGCCGGGCGACACCCTCGCCTGCAGCGCGAGGAGGTCCCCTCCCCCCGCGGTGGAGATGCACCGGACCTCGGCACCATTGATCAGCACGCAGCCGCGCCGCAGCGCCTTGCGCGCGCGAGACGCTGTCGGAAAGCGGCCGGGGTCCGTCGCCATGACAACCTCGGGCAACGGCGTCCCGGGGGCCACGCTCGGAGGGACGACGGCCTCAAAGGTCACCGCATGGCCAAGGCGAGTCCCGTTGTACAGCGCGCGCACTGCCGGCGCTGCCAGCTCGGAGGAGGCGAGGGCCGAGGCGCGGCGAGGCGATGTGGCCGCAAAGACAACGTGGCGTGTCGGAGTAGCCAGCAGGCCGCGCGCCGCGGCGAAGAGCACCAGCATCGCACTGGGCACTTCACACCTTATCGATCAACACTTTCGATAGACCGAAAGTAAGATCGTTCGGTGCAGAAACCCCGGCACTGCCCATGTAACGCAATTGTGCTCGATTTTTGGTCGAGAAGTGTCTCCAAGTCTTCTGGACCCATCGATGGCCGTCGCCTCGACGCCGCTCGTCGCGGCACCATCGTGCCCGGCCTGGGCGAAGCATCGTCGCGGGCGCCAGCCGCAGTTCGACGGCAAGCCGTGCGAGCCTGCCGAGGAGGAGGACATGTGGCTGTGCCTGGCCGACGGCCGCGCGCGCAGCACCGCCGACCTGAAGCGCCTGGCGACAGCCGCTCGGGTGCGAGCGAAACGAGCAGGAGATGCAGCCGCCGCGAACACGCGCGATCGGCAGGCGCGCGACCAGCGCCGCCGGCAGCGTGAGCAGCACGACCGGCGCGCAGCGCCGGCGGTCGCCAAGACCGTGCGCCCACAACGCGGCCAGTGCGGCTGCCCGGCGCACGCGGTGTGCGGCATGTGCGTCGACCAGGGCAAGCTCGCCGCGGCCGAGCAGGCGGCCATCGACCTGGAGACGCGCTTCCACGCCTCGACGAACGTCGTCATGGACCTGGAGCGGCCCGAGGACGAGACGGCGGCGCTGCTGCAGCGCTGCGTGCACGTCTCCGACGAGACGAAGCGGCGGCTGCTGGGCGAGTGGAGCGACGAGCGCATGGCGCACGCGCTGCCGCTGCACGCATGCGCCTCGTGCGGCGTGCGGGACCCGTCGCTGACGTACACGCGGGTTGACGTGTCGGCGCTGCCGCGTACTGTGTCTGTGCGCGTAGCCGGCGGCGAAGACGAGACGCGGCACGTGTTTGAGCTCTCGCCCGAGCAGTGCGCTAAGTATCTAAGAGTGGTGAAAAGGAGTTGCGGTGTTGATCGCCGCGGGAGCCCTCTTATTGAGAAGGAAATACCTCCTATGGCGCTGTGCGCTGGTCTGTGAGAGGTTGTCACACCGCACTAAATTTAGGCCCAGGCGCCCTCCCAAAGAGCGATCGTCTGAATTTCTTCTCATAACAAGGCTGTGAAGGTCAGATCAGCTCACCGCCAGCACCAACCATTCACACACAGCTGCTCAGGATGTGCGTGTGTGTGTGGCGTCCTCCGACGCCGCAGCGAGCCTGAGCTCGGTCGCAATCTCATCCCACATCCGCCGCCGCGAGCTGCAGCGCGACTGACATGGCACATGCGCTGGGCCTGCAGCGACAGCCACGACCGCGTCGACCGCTCGCCTCGTCCTCGTATAGAGCTGAGGGAGGGTGTAGAGGATGTAGAGTGTAGAGCGCTGTAGAGCTGTAGAGATGTAGAGCGCTCTGGAGCGCTGTCTGTAGAGCTGTAGAGCTCTACATCCGGCGCGTGACGATGTGAGTCCGCACACAATCAAGCATCGGCAGAATTAGTGCCTGAGTCAGGCAGACAGCACAGACAAGGAGAGGAGAGAGAGGAGAGAGAGAGAGAGAGGAGAGGGGAGAGGGTGAGGGTGTGTGCACGCGTGAGGAGTGGGGAGGGTGTCTGTGGTGGGCTGTAGTCCTACTACGTGGTTACAACCACGCGCCCCTCAGGGGAGCTTAAGGTAGAGTGGAGCGCCCTAGACGCCTCAGTGCCTCCCACCGGGTGAGACCATCCGGATCTACCGGACGCGCCCTCCGGGCGGGTCCGTCCCCGCGATGGCCCACGGTCCTCCGTCGCCAGGTCGAACCCCCTGCCTCCCGGTTGACCCCCCAGTCCTCGTACTCGACCATTAAATAAACTCAAAGGTCCACCACAGCCACCACCCTCCACCTCCACCGTCGAGCCGCGATCGCTGCCGCCCGCAACGCCGCCCGCCGCGTCAGATGCCCGCGACGCCCGCGGCGAGTCGAGTCGGAGAGCCGAGCCGCACCAGCAGCAGCATCTGCACCAGCAGCAGCACCAGCAGCAGCAGCAAGCAGCAGCAGAGAGAGGCGCCAATTTTGAGGTTGCCCGAGACAGCCTGGAGATGGCCCCGCGTTGTAGCCCCGGTGCCGGCGCCTCACATCTCAGCATCCAGGGGCCGGTTCCGCCGCGCAGTCGAGCAGCAGGAGCTCGGCCTCGGGCACAGCTTTGTCGACAAAGAGCTTGAGCAAAATTTCGGCGAAGAAGCGTCACCGGCGGCACGCCGGGATGAATCCGGACCAATGACATTGTTCGGCACCGCGACGGCGAGCCGCCGCGGGCCCACAGGAGGGTGAGAGAGAGAGAGAGAGAGAGAGAGAGAGAGAAAAACCGCCAATGGCCGTTATCCGTTAGTGCGGACGTCGCCGCGGCTCGCCTCTGCCGCGGCGGCTGCTGCGCGCACGCGGCGGCGCCGCTCTCTCGCGAGACGGCTGGCGACGCGGCTCGCCGCCGACGTACGGTGCGCTCGTCCGACGGTCCGCGGCGTGGCGTGCGCGGTGCTGAGCGCCGCTCTGCGAGCGCCTCTGCGCCTGCACTGCCTGTCTCTGTTGCTGGTGGTGGTGGTGGTGCTGATGCTGCTGGTGCCGATGCTGCTGCTGGCGCGGCGCGGCTGTGCGACTGGGCTCGACGCGCGCGTCGCGAGCGTCTGACGCGGCGGGCGGCGTCGGGCAGGTGCGCTTCTCTCTCGGGTGGTGGTGGTGCTGCTGCTGCTGCTGCTGGTGGTGCAGGTGCTGCTGCTGGTGCGGCGCGGCTCTCCGACGCGACTCGATGCGCGCGTCGCGGCTATCTGACGCGGCGGGCGGCGTCGCGGGCGGCAGCGGTGGCGGCTCGCGGGTGGAGGTGGAGGCTGGAGGCTGTGGTGGGTCTTTGAGTTTATTTCATGATGGACTACGAGGAGTGGGGGTCAACCGGGAGGCAGGGGGTTCAACCAGGCGACGGAGGACCGTGGGCCATCGCGGGGACTGCTGCGTACGGAGGGCGCAGCAGGCAGATCCGGATGGTCTCACGCCGGTGGGAGGCACCGAGGCGTCTGGGACGCTCAGCTCTAACTTAAGCTCCTGAGGGGCGCGTGGTTGTAACCACGTAGTAGGACTACAGCCCACCACAGACACCCTCCCCCACTCCTCACGTGTGTTCACACCCTCACCCTCTCCTCTCTCCTCTCTCTCTCTCTCTCTCTCCTCTCTCTCCTCTTGTCTGTGCTGTCTGCCTGACTCAGGCACTCAATCTGCCGATGCGTGATTGTGTGTGGGCTGCTCCGAGGGGGCCCTCTGTGCGATCCGACGGGTAGGGGGGCTGTGCCCGGGCGGTGTCCGGTGTGGAGTCCCCTTCTGATCCCGCCTGAGATGTTGGGTGTGAGGTTGTGGCGGCTTCGATCCCAAGGGGGGGAGCTGATCCCACTCAATAACCAACTCTCAGGGGCAGTAGGTGGGCGAGCTTCAGGCACGCTCATCTCGATCGTCAAGACGTTGCTACGCGCGGTCTTCCGCGGGGGGAGCTGCGTCGACGGGTGCGGGACCGCGGCGCAGCCAGTGCCGCGGCGATGCCTCCGGCTGTTTGCGGCGGGCGGCTTGCTGCTCGCGGCGATGGCGAAAAACTCGTCTCGCCACACGCCAAGGGCTTATGCTCTGGCGAGACGTGAGGCGCATGCGCCCAGGAGGGGAGGGGGCATGTGTAACGACACTGCTAGAGATGCCTTTCGGGGCCCAGAGATAAAACTTCTGTGATGCCATGCGTGACCTAGTAGTGTCCCCAGCTATGGGCGTGTCCACGTTGGAGCCAGGTGTGGTGTGGGCGCGAGAATAGCTCCGCCGTTCATGGAGGCAACCGATGCGAGTCGACTGGTGTGTGTCGTCGTGGTTTCGTATCAAGAATTCTCTCTCTCCCCACAGGAGGGCTGGGAGCCGCGGCACCGGTCCGCGCCGCCAGCGGGGCGAGAGCACCAGCCTACAACCTGCCGACGGCAGTTGCGACGGCGTTTTCACACACACACACACACACACACACACACACACACACACACACACACACACACACACACACACACACTGGGAATGGGGGTTCACAGCACAGTGCGAGACGGGGTTGCAACCTGGGGAAGAACTCGCAGCTTCGCTCCGGGAGATGAGCGACGTTGCGGTTGCGCTCGTGCCAGCAGCATCGGCCAAGGCTCTCAAGGACGCTCTCAAGGTTCGCGGGTGGCTTAGCACCGCACGCAGGCCAGCTATGGTGGGGGGGAGGATAGCGTTTCCGCTGGCGGACGGCGCCGAGGACGCAATCGCGCTCGCAGCCAGCACACCACCGTTTTGTGACATTGAGGCCGTCGAGAGGATAGCCACCGACGCCCTCGCCGTGAAGAAGGCGCCACCGCCGCAGAAGCAGAAGCCACACAGCGCCCACAAGGCGCGTGTGGCGGCGGCGCCCACTCGGCCACGCGCACAGGAGCGCTCCTTTGGCGGCGGTGCAGCCGTTCGCGGAAGCAGCATGCTGCCGCCAGCAGCGGCCGTGCAGCGAGTCGAGTGCGCCGGTGACGCCGACTACGAGTGGCTGCAGCGGCAGGTCTTCAGCGGGCGTCGGCCGGCAGTGCTCTCCGGCCTTCCTCTTGGGGAGTGCGTCGGAGGGTGGAGCGCAGATCGGCTCGCGCGAGCGCACTGCGCGAGCCCATCGGTGAGCGTGCACGTCTGCGCCTCGTCAACGGTCGGCCTCGCCGAGCAATCTCGCACAATCTCCCGCAATCTCCCGCAATCTCCCCCAATCTGCTGTAGGTCGACCTCGCGGGGCACCGTCCCGCAAACACGCCCCGGAACTTTGTCTTTCGCTCGATGCCGTTCGCAGAGGCGGTGCGCCGATGCAGTGGATCCGGCGGCGGCGGCGGCGGCGGTGACGGCGGCGGTGATGGCGGTGATGGCGGCGGCGACTTCGGGCCTATACTTGAGCCGCTGCTGAATGCCGGCGAGCGCTACTACCTGCGCTCGGTCGGCGGAGACACACGGAAGGAGGCGGCAGACTTCCCGCGCACTTTCCCGGACCTTGCGCGAGAGTGCAACCTGCTGCCTCCGCGGCCGGACAAAGAGGGCGACGGGGCGGGCGGGGAGGGCGACGGGGAGGGCGGGAGGACGGTGGTGGGCGCGGAGGCGGCGCGCCGGCCTTTGCTCGATCCATCAGCCTACCACTCGTCTGTCCTCCGGCTGGCGTCCGTAGAAGCGGAAAAGACGTGTTCGTGCATTCTTGTACTCCAACTCGCGCTCGAGAGGAGGCGCCCTCCGCTGTACTCGGCCGTGTTCCGCGGCATTCACTGCCTTCGGCGGGAGTCGTGCCCCTCGTATTCACGCGCTGCTCCCAGTATTCTGCACGAGACCGTCCTCCCGCCCTGAGGTTGGCGTATTCAGCACGTAGGCTTGTACGCGGCAGAATTGCTACCACACCACCCACGGGACTGAACCCATACTGGATTCGATACTCTGGAGGTATGGTACTAGGCTGGCGTCGCACGACACGCAGCTGTGGACGCACTTCGATGTGATGGACAACGCGCTCGCGCAAGTCCGCGACGCGTCCCGCCCCCCGCACACGACACGTCCACGACACGTCCACGACACGTCCACGACACGCCCACGACACGCCCACGACACGTCCGCGACACGCCCGCGACACGCCCGCGACACGCCCGCGACACGCCCACGACACGCCCACGACACGTCGACGGCGCTCCGCTGACAGCATTGCTCGAGCAGGTGACGGGCCGGAAGCGGGTCGTGCTGTGGCCGCCTGAGGCGGACGGTTGCCTCTACGTTGAGGGCTCCTCATCGCGGGCCGGGAGACCTTAGAAGCTGACGACGGCCTCTTGTCTCCCAACCAGCGCTCGAGAGGACACGCACTCCGCCGACTCGGCCGTCGGCTGTACTCACGGCGCTCGTACCCCGTGTGTCCACGCGGTGCTCTGAAGACACGGCACGAGACCGCCTTCACACCCGGACTCTGGCGCATGCTGCAGCGCAATGCATGCCGCAGGTCGGAGACATCGACCGCTGGAATGACGAAACCTTCCCGCGTTTCCGCGCCGCGGTGGGTGAGCGCTTTGAGTGTGAGCTGAGCCCGGGCGAGGTGCTCTAGCACACAACACACACCACACACCACACGCAACACAACACACCGCACACGGCTCATCACACCACACACACACACACTGTTGCACACACACACACACACACACACACACACACACACACACACACAGAGAGAGAGAGAGAGAGAGAGAGAGAGAGAGAGAGAAGGGGGTGGGGAGAGAGGATCACCTGACCTCCCCTCAGGTGCTCTTCATTCCGGCGCTCTGGTTCCACAACGTCACGTCGATCGGCTTCTCGGCCGCCGTCAACGTCTTTTGGCGCTCGCACCCCGCCGCGCACGCGCTGTACGACCCAAAGGACCTCTACGGCAACAAGGTGCTTTGTGGGGACCCCTCGCGTCAGAGCGGGGCCCCTCCCCTCCCCGCAACCCCACCCTGGCCGCTCCACCCCCTCTCCGCCCCTCCCGTTCAGATCGCATCACTCAAAAGCCTGGATGACGCATCAAAGCCAGCGGTGCTGCTGGACCTCGGCACTTGCGACGGCCGCAGCACGGCGCCGTGCTTCAGGGAGTGCGCGAGGCACATTCGCGAGCGTGACGCGGGTGCGCACCCACCTCGGCCGCAGCGACCAGTGGTCGCCATTTTCGAAGATCACCGCCACAACGAGTGGAGCCCACTCCTCACGCGCGATCTCAAGCACGAGCTCGGCGAAGGCGTGTTCCCGCTCGTGAGCAACACGAGCTTCTACGAGGAGGTAACGGCGCCCGGCTCGGTCGACCTGGCCTTCTCGA